TCAGAAATGAATTGCCGACCAGATTAAGCTCAATTGTGATGGAGAAAAATCCAAACCAAAATGAACTGGGATGAATTGTCAGGCTTCAGTTTGCAAAGGTCATGAGGAAAGGGATGGATAGCTATCTTTACAGAATGATATATTCTGTTATTTGGGAAAATCATGTGAAGAGAGATGATGGACTTTAGGAGTACAAAGGTCAGCTTCTGGGCCCATTTTGAAAAAGGGGAAAAAGGATGAGGCTGGAAAATGTGCAGACTTGGGCAGATTTATGTAACTATCTGGGTAGCTGCTCTATCATACTTACCTTTTTAAAAAAAAAATCAGAAAACAATCATCTGGGTTTGGAAAGAACTTGTTAGGAAAGAGCATATCTCTGTTCAGTTGGCAGGGAATTCTCTGTCTTGGTTGAAGTAATTGTAAACTTTGTGGTTTCAAAAAGTCCATCAGCCAGAAATATATGCCTGCACTGTCAGATGATCTGAGGAACGGGATGGTGTGTAGTCCATCCACCTGGAATCAGTGACACAGTCTCAGGCTAGAGTTACTCAGGGTTCTGGGTGGGGACAGGAACCAAACTTGAGTCATCCTAGTTAACACACAAGGAATTTCAAATATCTCTGAAAAGTTCAGACAGAAAACCCAAAATGTAGTCAAGTGGGAGTTCAGAAATCAGTCCTATGAAGAAGTGACATGATCCTGCTGTTTAGATGGAGGATTTGGGAAGAGCGTTTGGACTGCCATCCCTGTCTTTTGGCTCTACTCTGCTTTTGTTCAGAGTGTTCACACCATCGGAAGAAGTGCTGCACGATAGGAAGAATTCCCTGATTGTCAGACTAATAAGCTACTACAAGTGGCTAGTGAGGAAATGTAGGCAGTTCTTTTTGCTAAAAATTATCTACAGACAATAAGCAATCTCTACCTGGAGTAATCAGAACATTTCAGGAGAGTAAACATAGTTGGGATTGGGGGACTCTCTTTGTCTCAGATATCATGCACATTGTACTCTTTCCTATCTGATCAAAGATGCTAGAAATATAATTTAACCTTCTTCATGCAAATACTGTTAGGCCTTCCAACTCAATATAGAATATTGACCTAACCCAGGATCTCTCACTTTGTAGATCATTTCTATTGCTGTTATTTCTCTGAAAAAAATCTTCCTTTCCTGTGAGGGCAGCGACATTGTCATTGTTCCTTGGAAACCTACTTTCTTAGACTGACTGCTCCCTATGTTTAAAGTTTCCAACTTTGAGGGTGCTCTTGAAATGCTCCATGTTTCCAGGTTGTTATTGATTCAGGTAGCACCTTCACAAGGAACTGTGAGGACTAGATGAGTTAATCCATGTAAAGTTCCTGGAAATGCCTGGCACAGAGTAAGCGTTCAGTGAGCGGTGGCTGCTGTGATCATTGTTTCCCCATCCTTGTGGGGCTTCTCTCTATGCATGCATTACTACTGCTGGGTTCAAAGTTAGAAGGGGAGGGAAAATAGGCCAATTGGTGGGACCTCAGGAGAAGAACAAACCCTATCATGCAGAAAGATTATAGTAACTTCAAAGTATAGTTTTGGAAAATCTCTTTAAATCTAACCAATGCACAATGGAAAACCCCTAAAGAACCAATCTAATTATTTAATTAAATGGAACCGTTATGCTGACTTTTACTACAGAAGGCAAGCATAATTTAGAAAATGGGGCATTTTAATTCTCTTTTGTTTTCCAATTAACGCAATTGCTCTAAAAGGAGGTCCTGTGCTTGAGTGTACATGTTCTATGAGTACATATTCCCTACGTAATTTCAGTCTCTCTCTTATTCTTTCTCATCCAAAAAAAAAAAAAAAAACAAACCAAACAAACAAAAAACTCTTACCTGTTGACATGGAGGTTTATTTATTACTGTGTTCAGGCTACCCAGATTACAACCTTGGAGCAAATATCTTCCTGCCGTCAAAGCTGCCCTGAACACGCAGGCCCTCCACGCAGCTCTCCTCTCCCTGGGGCTATAATTAGGACGTTGAAGTAATGGAGCTCTCACTTTTTTGCTGATGCCAGCTCACCACAGCAGACCACATGAGTTTACTCTTAGTTGAAAGTGGTAAAGAAAATGCCAAGAACATTCATTTTAATTGGTCAACATTATATGGGCCTTTAGTGCCACCGTTTTATGGTCCTCTGTTTTAGATTTCTTTCTGCCACCAGCCATCAGCCTATTATGATGGGTGTTCTTATATGCATTTGATTATCCTTTTATTGTTATTTTGATTGTTACTTGTTTATGAATGATTAAAAATGTCATCCTCTTTTTTTTTTTACCTAAGTAACAATTTGATCTGCCCTATTAGCTATTAAATTCTATAGAAAAGACTGACATTTTCACATTGGTGAAAAATTAGTTTTTCATCAAATAGTCCCTGAGACTAGGAGAGATGGCAGATTTTTTTTTCTTAAATGCTTGCTCTGATGCTGGTATTTTGTAGTCTAAAACATGGGTCCTTAGGGTAATGTGTGGTGATGGTGGCAGTGGTGATACCAGTGATACTCTTGTGTAACTAGACATGTTTCTTCTGCTTTGATTGGACTGAGTTCACTTGAACTCTGGAAAATGTTTAATTTGTTACTCTAACATGGAAAACACCATGTAAAATAGGAGAGAATGGTAAAAGAGAAACATGTGTCTTTTTAAAAAGTGAACTCACTATTCTTAAAAGTCTTGGGGCAGGGGTGATCCAGGAAGTTAGACACTGATCTGAGTGGAGGAAATACAGTGTTTGCCTTTGACATTGATAGAATACTTTGTCGTGGGGACCTTCATGGTAGCCTTTTAATTACAAAGCACTGCTGCTAATGTTGCAAGAGGTGAGTAGTGGCCAAATTCCTCTTCAGTGCCCCATGCACCTTCTCCCCTCTCCAGGAAGTCTTTCTCACTAGGCCTCTGAGGAGGACGGGGCAAGTTGTTCTGACAATCTCCTCTGTGTTGCTTTCTTTCTTTGGTCAGACTGAAGAAGTTCGTAAGTAAATTTTAAAATGGGAAACTATTTCATGCAGAGAGGACATTGTAAAAGCAGTTATGAAGATTAAGAATAAGTTTGCACAACTGGTGTCAAATGCGGCTTCCCTGATGTCTCAGCTGTAAAGAGTCTGCCTGCAACGCAGGAGACCCAGGAGACATGGTTTGATCTCTGGGTTGGGAAGATCCCGTAGAGGAGGCAGTGGCAACCGACTCCAGTGTTCTCGCGTGGACAGTGCCATGGACAGAGGAGCCTGGCAGGCGGTAGTCCAAAGGGGCACAAAGAGTCGGACACCACTGAGTGACTGAACACAACCAGCGTCACATGACAAAACTCAGGCAATGAGTGATGAGTCTGATGCCCTTTATTCAAGGGGGACAGTCCAGGGCTGGGGGCCACAGTTCCTCACAAGCAGTGGGGCAGTCTTCTGGAGGGATTTGGGACATCACTTTAGAGCATTAGAAGTGGCAACACAGAAGACAGGGCATGATTGGTGGGGATTGCGTATCTGACTTTATTTAAAAAGATCGAAGAACAAGGAAGTAAGTATGGAGCCCAGAGCTGGCACTGCATTCAGGGATGGGCTGAATGGATACTGTGATTCTGGTCAAGCAGAGCATTTACAGCCAGCCACATGAAAGTTCAGCCTGATGATGTGGCACCAGGCAGGAGTGGCCCCAGCTTGGGTCTAGAAATTTTTTTAAATACTAGTTTTGTTTTATTTTTGAGTGGGGACTAGGTAGAAATGAAAGAGAAATTTAAATTAATTACAACTGGAAAGCCTTGACATGAAGGATAACAAAAAAAAAAAAAAGGAAGTGAGCTGCAAAACAAAGGATGACTAGTTTGTTCTCTGGCCTCAATGGTGGACTAGTGGCTAGGATTCCTGGTTTTCACCCAGGCTAATCAGGTTCAGTTCCTGGGCAGGGAACCAACGTCTCACTTCAAGACACCAGGCATTATTGTCTCCTCGACATTAGTGATATTGAGAAGATCCATTTATGAGTATAAAGTAGTCATCTAAAGTTCATAATTTAATAAAAAGTTGTGTTTATATATAATATTTTTAAAAAGCATTATTTAAGGAGTAAGATCAGGGTTAAAAGAAAATAGATTTAAGTTGTTCCTAATTTTATGGAATATTGATTTTATGACTCAAATACTATTCCTCTGTTACACTTCAAGACTAATTTATGAGGCTGATATAATAATGACTTATCATTTATTGGATGTTTGGTCTAAGCCAGAGGTGAACAAATTCTGACCCATGAACCAAATCCAAGCTACCTCTTGTTTTTATAAAGTTTATGGCAACATAGCCATGCTCATTTGTATATGTTTACACTATAAAGATGGAATTGAAGCATTGCAACAGAGATGGTGAAGCCCTGCTAAGGCTAAAATATTTCCTACCTGGCCCTTTGCTGAAAAAGTTTGTCAACCTCTGGTTTAAGGCAGGCACTGTTCTTTACATGCAATATGTCATTTAATCCTTACAACATCCTTAGGAAATGTATTATCCTTCTTTCATATATGATGAAATCGAGGCTTAAAGATGTTTAATGTCTTGCACAGGGACACCCAGCAATGTGGAAGAGTCTGGATGTGAATTCATGTGATCTCATATGTAGAGCCTGCACTTTTCATCCGGGTCCATTTCTTTGTCCTTGGGCTCCAGAGAGGTGGCCCGTCATACTGGTTAACAGCAGGACCCTGGAACTAGATCCTTTGAATTTGAATAACCTTAGGCATCATGTGGCTTAACTTCTTTGTGCCTCAGAATGGAAACATTGCTATTATTAACCTCTTATTTTATAGATGAGATTCTACAAATTCAGTTAAGAAATTCAGTTAAGTTTTCAGAAGACCTGAACTTAAAATGACTACGCATCACTAAAATGCTAAGCAGACAGCGTGTATTTTAGAAGAATGATGGCTTTTGAAAGGTGAAATAGTGAATCAAATGTTATTATTTTTTTTTTTTAATTATCAGGTCCTTCATAGACAGCAGTCTCAGCCAGCCAAGGAGAGTTCTCCTCCCAGAGAAGAAGCACCCCCACCACCTCCTCCGACCGAAGACAGTTGTGCCAAAAAGCCTCGGTCTCGTACAAAGATCTCTTTGGAAGCCCTTGGTATCCTCCAAAGCTTCATTCATGATGTGGGCCTCTACCCTGATCAGGAAGCTATCCACACTCTTTCTGCTCAGCTGGATCTCCCCAAACACACCATCATCAAGTTCTTCCAGAACCAGCGGTACCACGTGAAACATCATGGGAAGCTCAAGGAACACCTGGGCTCAGCGGTAGATGTGGCCGAGTATAAGGACGAGGAGCTGCTGACGGAGTCAGAAGAGAATGACAGTGAAGAAGGCTCGGAGGAGATGTACAAAGTGGAGGCCGAGGAGGAGAATGCGGAGAAAAGTAAGGCCGCACCCGCTGAAATTGACCAGAGATAATGTGAACTCCAATCAGGCAAAGCAATACACCGGTCCAAGGATTTTCTGTTTTAGTTTTTCTGAAAACTTTTTTTTTTTGCCTTATTTTATTTTTGTCTTTTTTGGTCTTTTTGTTCTCCTTCCCTTTTTTTTTTTTGACATTTCTTTGTTGCACAGGATACACCTGTAGACTGAATACGTTCAGTATTTCCGAATCAGACATAGCCTTGGCAAAGACACTAAAGTGTTACGCTTTACAATGGACTGGATCGTAGTCATTATAATCACAGGAGACTCTGCCTTCATTATCCTCGCACTTCCGGAAGAGACACCAGGCAAGTTCCCAGATGAAAAGACCTACGAAATAAATGAAGGAAGCTACAAGTGTGTGTGTATATGTATATGTATATATCTATATATTTACATATATATATTAAATTGCATGGGACAGAGAACTTTACAATCCGAAAGAATAGACTGTGAAATGAGTTCTTAAAGAAGAGACTTGTTTATGTATTAAAAAAAAAAAACCACTTCACAGTGAGTCGCTTTGGCTTTTTGATAAACTGCGGCCTGCTCTCAGGGTGGGGTGACTTATTTTTGAATTCCTATTTATTTTCTGTGTTTGTCCCTGATTTTTTTTTTTTTTTTTAAAATTCTATGGCTTCCTATCTGGCAGCTTGATGGGTAATTTTTGAGGTATGTATTTAACTAAATAAATCAACACTGCCAAAAAAAATAAAAGAAAGAAAGAAGAAGAAAGTGGAAAAAAAAATCAGGGCACCTTAAAATGATACCAGTCAAATTAATCTTAAAGACACAATGCACATTAAATGACTCGATGTGTTCCGTTACTCAGCTTGTCGTTACTGTAGTGAACAGGTGCATTTCTGTGGAATTCCAAGCGAGTGAAGCTGAAGTTCAGTGCAGAGAAAACTCGTCTATTAGTGCAGCCTCGATAAAATGACATTTTAACATCAGACAAATGGAATTCACAGTATGAGCCACATTTTATTGTGAAATTTATTTACCTGCTCGTGGCTTCAGATCTTAAAATTAATAAGCCTGCTCATTTTAACTTGTTTATTGTTGCTGTTTTCTTTTTCTTTTCTTTTTTTAAAATAGAAAATAGTTCAATGTAATGTTAAGTTAGAAAAGAAGTTGCTGCCCAGATAAAGGGGCTCCTTCTCCAATAAATCCCCGTCCCTCCAGCTCCCGAGAGACGTTTCTCATTTCTGTTTCACTTTCGGTGTCTTCTTCGTACACATTCCATCCACTTAACCAGACATTTTTAGTCCTTGCTCTCATGCACCTCATCCCTTCCCTGCTATGGGAGCAGCCCTAACGAAAACCTGTTTTTAAATCATTGTGCAGCTCCAGGCAATAGAGTAAGCAAAGCAATTTCAGTGGAATCACCTACTCGTCATAAACTGAAACATTTTCCCAGTTACCTACATAGCAGTTACCTTACGCAAAGCAGAACTAATGCTGACTGGCTGTTAGGGGAATGAGCATTAAAGCTGCAATCTACTATAGTTCTCCCACCGCCTTTAGCTTCCCATCAGAAAGCATTACTTCCCACTTCTAGTCATTGCAAGAGGAGACCTCACCTTCAGGACTGGCCGATCGAACCTAACCCATACTTCAAGGTGGCCATCAAACAGTCCCACACGGTTGGATTTTTTTTAAGAGTTGTGCTCTCATGCAACCTTGTCAAAGACCTCATGCAATATCACTTTGAAAGTTATTTTCTGTTTACTACACAAACATTGTAATATAACTGTTAATACTATTTATATATTTGAAAGGTATAAAAGGTCGGAGTTAAAAAAAAACAAAACCTCTATTTGTAGATATTAACTCAGAACTTACGATATACAGGGAGAAGACATGTTGCAATACAAGCTAATTCTAGCTGCTCAGTAACCTCTGGAGTTTTTAAAGGGACATTTTCCTGTACTTTTCCAAATAATGATGTTTAAAAAATTATCTTGACATGAGCGTCATATACCTTTGCAAAAGGATGGTGGTTTGCAGTCAAGCCCTGGGTCCATCCTTCCTATTTCTGTAGTATGCTGCAGCTTTAATCAGAAAGTCCGTGGTTGCTGCTTCCTGATCTCCGAGTTACTCTTCTCCAAATTGTCTTCTTACACTGTTGCTGAAGGTCACTCTGTACATGTAATGGAAACTGATTTTGCCAAGCTCTTACAAGGTGGTTCATCTCTCGATGGCATCCGCATTTGGTATCTTTTACACTTCAACCAAAAATTTATTAGGTATTTTTCAATGCTAAGTCTTGCCTTTTATTTTTTAATTTCACTGCCAAGTTTGCAGTGGTTCTAAGTGAATCTGTGGGCATTTTAGCCTGTGGTCTTGCCAGATCTTTGCGAATTACAATGCATATATGTCTATTTATTCAATATCTGTCATATAATATCTATTTGGAAGAAGAAACTTTCTCTTGTAGTGCCTCTTGACAAAGCACAATTTCCTGCCCCACCCCTTTTTTTTTTGTGAAATGAAAAAACAAATTGTGTTTTATTGCGGTATCAACAATGTGAATAAGGATTAACATATTGTAAATGTTCTTTTTTCCATGTAAATCAACTATCTTTGTTATCACTAAGTGATAATTAATTTTTAACTTATGTGCATTGTTAGGCTGTTAGAATTTTTTGGTTGTTAAAATAAAACGCATTCAAAAAATATGACTTTGTCAAGTGTTTTGTTGGGCATTGCCTTCTTTCCCACTGAAGTTTTCATGTGGAATGAGACCTGGTGAGTGTAAGGAAGCCCCATTCCCTTATTTACAAGACAGCTGTACCTGGAATTACAAATGTTTGAGTCCTACCAATGCAAGAATTTAATCATACATATAAATGTACATGCATCTCTGGGTGTTTGTAAACGTATGCATGCTCTCATCCTGAAGTTGGCAGCTGGGGGAGTCATTTGCCTAAACATTTTGTGGTATACAAACAAAACTCAGTGCATAAAGATAAATTTATGGACTTGCTTCTTTATTTTTCTAGTGCATGTTTTCTGTTTATAATTAAAAACCCACAAATGACTGCATGTCAGGAAACTTTTGGAGCACATATGTCCATGGTTAATGGACATAATAAAAGTCTTTTATATTTAGAGCTGGGTACCATAATGTGAGCATAGAGGAATGCTGGAAGGATTGATGTATCTGAGAAATGTGTGAAAATGATGTTTTAGAAAGTGCTCACAATGGAAAAAATTGCTCAAAAGACCAAAGTTAATAAGGAAGGAGCAAGTGCTTAGCATCAGAACTGACAAAGAGAAAGTCAATTAAAAAGTGATTTTTTTTCTTTTGATACTGTAAATTGTTTTTCCTGTCTTTTTTTTCTTTCTTTCTTTTTGTTTTTGGCACACGGTTGACATACAGATGTAATTTTTCTTTCCTTTTTTCCTCGATTTCACTTTCCTTTTTTCCCATGATTGTTGACAGCCCATGGACTGTGTAGACAAGTTTTGAGGACAGTTTGTGGAAATTGGGTGTTTACAGAAAGGCAAACAGCCCCATTGTATAAAGCACTAAGGATTTTTAAAGAAAAATGAGAGGTTCATAGAGATGAAACATGTCTATGCAAATGTACATGAATTCTGCCTTTGGGATAAAGACATGGAAGTAAAGCATGTGTGAGATAGTCTGCCTTTTAGCACAAATGCTTTCCACCTTCATGAGATGGTATTTTTGGAGGTCATACTTCATCCAAAGTGACAAACTCAAAGCTGGGAGACTCGTTGGCTTTTGTCTTTTAGAAGAGGGTCTGTGCTAGCAACTTTTATTTCCAATAATACAAAGTCAGAGGTTTCTTGACTATATGTTAAGTCATGTCATCTCAAAGTTATCACTTTATGGGTTGAGGTTTTTATTTTTTCACCTTAGAGAAGATATTTTCCTTTACACTGTTACTTCCCTTTCTGCAAAGCTTTAAACAAAGATTTAAAAGTCCTCACATTTTTTTCTAAAGGACAATCGGCATCATCATACGGTAAACATTTATTAAACATACACTCTAAAGCAGATAATTTGCTAATAACTGAGATGACAAGGAAAATTGTATCATTTAATGCTCTCCCCTCAAGGAGCTTATAACTTAATGGAAATGTATATCAATCCAGAAAAAGTGAAGTTGTCATCCAATGGTTATACTCAGACAGATGTGTATTTGTTTAGTGAGTGGTGCAAGCATGTGCTATAATTTAGAGAATGAGAATTAATCATTATTTGTGAGCTAGAATGGCCTTAGGATTGGCTGCATATCATTTTTAAAATTACAAAGTAGTAACAAGAGAAGAATTTACCTGTTTCTTACATAAAAGAAATTGCTGGGATAATCTGACTTCACAAAGTTGTCAGGGACTCAAACTCCTTCCAGTTCCACTTATCCCTATGTTTCTGTGTTCCCTTTTCCTTATGGTCCAGGATGATTGCTAGAGCCTTGCCATCACACCCACCTTTCAGACATCAGGATGGAAGAAGAAGTAAAGAATGGCATACTCCCTTTCTTTTGTGGGATGTCTTCAAGTCCTATGCTTAAATACAAGGGAGGGTGGTAAATGTTCCTAACTGTTCTATTAATTCCAGAGAGAAGGGGAGAGTGGATACTTGGTGAGCAACTCACAGCCTCTGCCAGAGAAGGTATCAAAAAGGATGTTGAAGATAATAGATAAGAGGAAGATAAGTACAAAGGCACATTTGTCCTGCTGCTACTTCTGTTACCTTGACCCTCTTCCTTTCCATCCTGTGTTCTTTTCCTTGCTAAATTTAAGAATCAGTTAGAGCACCACTTTTTCAAGGAAGCCTTTCTGATCTGCCCTCAGTTCAGTTCAGTTGCTCAGTCATGTCCAACTCTTTGTGACCCCATGGACTGCAGCACACCAGCCTTCCCTGTCCATCACCAACTCTTGGAGCCACTCAAACTCATGTCCATCGCGTCAGTGATGCCATCCAACCATCTCATCCTCTGTCGTCCCTTTCTCCTGCCATC